ATCCCGAGACTCGAGCTGCAAGCGGCCCTCCTAGGAAGCAGATTGGCACACTCGGTCGAGGAAGAAATGGATCTGAAAATAGAAAAGAAGACGTTTTGGACAGACTCCAGTATCGTGCTATCATGGATCAAGACGGACCCGAGAACCTTCAAGACATTCGTGGCTCATCGCTTGGCGGAGATAGAAGATCTCACAAAACCACAGGACTGGAGATGGGTACCGACGGCGCAGAACCCTGCAGATGATGCAACACGTGACGTACCAGAACACTTCGACTGCCAACACCGATGGTACACCGGACCAGGGTTTCTAAGAAGAGATGAAGTTCACTGGCCTGCGGCAAGAACATTCAAGAAAGAAACCACTGGCGAAGAAAAGGCAGCGGACATCGTAGCGACTGCAGGCAGCTCCTATCCATCACCAGATCCCGAAAAGTTCTCGTCGTGGAAAAGACTTTGGCGAGCTACAGCAAGAGTACTGCAGTTCATACAACTCTGCAGAAGAAAGGAAAAGGTCCACGCCAGCAAAGAAGATCCTACCTGGAAAACTACAAAAAGGAATAAGAAAATTGTTGAGAAGCGACATCTGTCTTCAAAAACGTCAGAAAGGAAATACATACCATTGGAAACAAGTCTACTAGAGCAAGCTGAAACGCTGTTGTTAAGAAGAAGTCAAGAGAAATGCTTCAAAGAGGACATCAGGTGCCTACAGCAAGGAAAACAATTAGAGGGCAGCAGCAAGTTGAAAAGGCTCGACGTAGTGCTAGAAGAAGGTCTCCTGCGACTGAAAGGAAGAATCGACGCGATACGAGGGGTTACCAGAGACTACAAACGACCCATCGTACTCGACAGCAAGGACAAGACAACATCTTTCTCATCATAGAAGAATTTCACTGCCGCTTCAATCACGGGAATCACGCGACCGTAATGAACGAAGTAAGACAACGCTTCTGGGTGCTAGGACTGAGGTCAGCGATCAAGACCATTCAACATCAATGCCAGTGGTGCAAAACAAGAAAGGCAAGACCTCAAGAACTACCAGTGGGCAACTTACCTGCTGAGAGGCTGATGCACGGAAACCCTCCATTTACGTGCACGGGAATAGATTACTTCGGCCCTATGACGATCACCGTAGCAAGACGCCATGAGAAGAGATGGGGTGCTCTATTCACATGCTTAACAACACGAGCTGTACACATTGAGCTCACTCCTTCACTCTCCACTGACAGCATGATCATGGCACTACGACGATTCGCCGCGAGAAGGGGAATGCCAAAGATAATCTACACCGACAATGGCACTAACTTCGTTGGCGCCAACAAAGAACTCAAAGAAGCACT